AAAAAAAAAAATACGGCTATCCAAAATCAAAGTTATTTGGTAGATCCTTTATCTCTATCAGAGCACATGACTATTTGAGGTTTTAAAATAAGGTTTTAAAAATTTGAATTGTGAGACAATTAGTATAATTGAATAGTATAATTGAACATTAAAATTAGTATAACTGAATATAGTATTTGTTTTAATAAATTGTTTGTTTCTCAACCACAGTTTGGACAACTCTACCCAACAAATAGAATGTTCTCCTGACGTAAATGAAATGATGTCAATGAATTTGAAAACTCTTCACCTCATCAGTAATAATTTATTTCGGTTACAAAATTTTACTCATTGGTGGAATGGAAGAAAAAGAATCACACAATAATGCTAAGAAGCCAATTGTTGGCTCCGTAACGGAGCCAACAACTAATGGGACAATTCCATGTGGGGCTGTGCCACATGGCTCCAATGTGGGACAGCCCCACATGGAGCTGTCCTATTGGTTGTTGGTTCCGTAACGGAGCCAACAATTAGCTCCTTAGCATTCCTGAAGAATCACAATGTACGATCTTGAGTCATATTCTCATTCGAAAAGTCAACAAGAAAATCGTCAAAGAAAAAGGGGTTGAATTATTTTCAATATACTCATCAAATTGTTCTTTTATATCATCATAGGTTGGCCCAACTGGTAAGCAGCTTGATGTCTCTTAAGTAAGGTCTCGGATTCGAGTCTTTGTGGATGCAGAAAACCATTGTGGGAGACTTAACCACTACTGCCACGGATCGACCAACGGATTAGTCGGGGCATAGTTCCGAATATCGTGGCTGGCTAAAAAAAATTGTTCACTTATTATTTCCAACTAATTCATCCGTTTCTCCTTCTATAAATACAAATGCTCAATGCCATAATATTTTCACACAAATACTTCTTCATACATATTCAACAAAATGGTTTGGCTCAGGACCAAGAAAACCACTATCTTACTTTGCTTTGTCCTTGTCCTCACTTCAACAATTATGCCTGCAAGGCTGCAAGCCCGTAAAAGTCCACCTCAGAAAAAGCCACCTAATTATGGTCCACATGATCCTAGTCCACCTCATTTTGTTGGTCCACCTCATCGATGCGTTCCACAATGCGACTCATCCGCTTCCGATCAAGACAACCGAGTCGACGACAGTCCCCACCTCCCTTAACTCATCACCGCCTACCTTAATAAATAAACCCCAAGCTTAGTTAATGTGCTTTTCATATGATGTTGCTCTAGATATGTATGTATGTTCACCAGTGACGGATCTAGGAATTTCGCTCAGGGGGGCCCGAGTTTAAATGTTATAACAAGCTTGTAATTTAAGGCGACACGCTCATTTTATATGAAAAGTTTTTTTACTATAAATATAATTGTCGATATGTGTACCATCAAGTATCTAAAAACTTAAAAAATCTGTAACCCTAAAACTTTAAAAAAAATTAAAAAAAAAAGTATGATTTTATGTATTTATAATTTAAGAAAAAAAAAAATAAAAAAGCATTTGCAGTACATTGTGTTCATCAAATGAACGATTTTTAAGAAGAAAAAAAAATAAACAAAAACTTTTGGAGTACATTTCATAAATTTTTTGTTAATGAGAGCTTATCAAATGAATATTTTTTAAGAAGAAAATAAATAAATTTAAAAATAGGTGATTACTGATAAAAAAAGTAAAAAAAGACAACATTAAAAAATGTAACAGTACTTAATACTAGATTTTATAAATCACTAACTCGATTTACAATTAAGAGATCAAAGAGTAAATCATTAAAAATATTTTCAAAAATAATCTAAAATTATAAAATATAAGGATTGGTAACACATTTTTAAAATAAATAATTTTATTAGTTTAAATTAAAATAGCATAAAAATAATTATTAATATATTTTGTACATTTTTATACATATTTTTTAATATTTTCTTTATATGTATATTATATATATATATGTTTAAAAAAATAAGGGGGGCCCGCGGGCGGGCCCCCCTGGACCCACTCTCTGATGTTCACCAATAATTGGGGTTACTGGAATAATGTTCATGTTAATCAAATAAAAGTATAATGTTGCTCTAATATATCCTTCTTCTTTTTTCCCTTTTTTTTTTTATAACTTTCTGTCTTTTTGATTTTGTTTCTGGCCTAAAATATTTTGGGGCGCGAAATTGCAAATCCTACTCTTTAAGTGTTACATTGGGAAGTATAGTGTTTGTGTTGTGTAGTGTTTTGGGTTGCTTTGTTGGCCTGTTATTTTATTCTTCTGAGTAGAAGCTCGATTCTTCCGTATGTAACTGTATCGATTCTCCTGTATGAGACTGTTTAATTTGTCTGTTTGTGGGTGCGTTAGTGTAGATCTCTAAGCTACCATTGTGCATGTCTCCCTTAGATTCAGTCGGATGGTTGCTTGGTTATTCCTAGTTGTATCTAGGTTTGTAATTATGTGTTTTTATTAATCTAATCTATCATTTCAAAAAAAAAAGTGTTAAATTGGAAAACCATGAGTTTGGTGTTCACTACAACTCAACCAAACCGAGCATCTCCAGTGGTAAAAATATAATTATAGTAATATACACTTTATATTAAAAAATTAGCAATATCTCCACTTTAAATCCTACAATGTACAATTGAATTACAAATGTAATGACGAGGTAGACATAATTAATGTATATAACGTAAAAAAGGATATGGTTCATCGACATTCTATTTCACACTCTAATCAACCAATTGAGAGATGAGAGAGAAATATTATTATAATTTTCAAAAAATCTAATAATTTTTTTTTCTTATTTACATTTTTTTTGTTTTTGTCAAGTGGACAATATTATGTTTGATCACATTGTGCATTGTAAATAAGTTCTTAGATTTGAAGTTGTGAACTTAACAAATATCTCGTGTTGTTCACAATGTTGGGAAAAAATACGCTGAAATTTTCATGAAGTCGGATCTATAAAAGTGATATAAAAAGAAAAATTGGACACACCAAATTGATAACGGAGTTCGGCCAATGATGCCTACATCTCCGGACTACTGCAGATATTTTATTAGGAGAAAAGAAAACACTCATGTTTAGCAGCCATAATTTAAAAAAAAAAAAAAAAACTTCAACATTTTTTCTTCCTTTTGCAGCTTCAAAGAAAGTGGGCCGAGCAACCCATTTTGACTCAACAATCTCTCACTTGAGGATGATTTCAATCTGTCCTCACACCTCAATTAGTGCAGTAGTCTTTTCGGACTGTTATTCTAGCAGGCCAACTGAAGTTGAGCACAACTTCAGTTTGTCAATGGTCACCACCTCCGTTAGCATATCTTTCGGGTTCTTGCTTCCTACAATCTTCTTCAAAATCAACACTTCATCCTCAAGAAGAGATCTGATAAAATGATATCGTATGTCAATGTGCTTAGTTCTGGAGTGAAACACTGAGTTCCTTGCCAGATGTATTGCACTCTGACTGTCACTGTGCAAGACATTCTCTTTTTGAGTGAAACCCAACTCTGCTAACAATCCTTGAAGCCATATCAATTCTTTACTGGCTTCTGTCACTGCTACATACTCAGCCTCTGAAGTGGATAGAGCAAACAATCTTTTGTATCTGCGACATCCAACTAGCAGCTGTAGCTCCGACAGTGAAAACATAACCGGTGGTGCTTCTTCGGTGATCAACTTCACCTCCGAAGTCTGCATCTACGTAGCCCTGTAACTTTAGATCTCCTTTTTTAAAATACAGACACTTTTCTGTTGTGCCCCGTAGATATCTCAAAATCCATTTGACTGCTTCCCAGTGAGCTTCTCCTGGTTTTGACATAAACCTGCTCACAACTCCCACTGCATGGCCAATGTCTGGCCTCGTACAGACCATCGCGTACATCAAACTTCCAATGGCAGAAGCATAAACAATCTTAGCCATGAACTCTTCTTATTCTTTTGTTTGAGGAGTCTGATCCTTGGATAGACGAAAATGGCTGGCCAAAGGTGTACTGACTGGTTTGGCCTTGTCCATGTTAAATCTCTACAAAACACGGTTGATGTACTCTGTCTGGGATAACTGCAAAACTCCCTTTTGCTTATCTCTCGTGATTTGCATTCCAAGAATCTTCTTTGCTGGGCCTAAGTCCTCCATGTCAAATTCTTTTGACAACTACATCTTTAATTTCTCGATTGAAGAAACAACAGTGATCAGCATTGCACTTCTGGAAACCTTCCTTGTGCATGAAGCTTTCAAACTTCCTATACCACTGTCTTGGAGCTTGTTTCAGGCCGTACAAGCTCTTCTTCAATCTACACACCATATCTTTCTTTCTTTCTGAAAAAACCTTCAGGTTGGTGCATGTAGATCTCCTCATCTAGGTCTCCGTGAAGAAATGCAATCTTCACGTCTAATTGCTCTAGATAGAGCTCTTCACAAGCCACAATACTTAACACAGTCCTGATAGTGTTGAGCTTTACAGCTGGAGCAAAGATTTCAGTATAGTCAACTCTCTCTTTCTGCTGAAATCCTTTGGCAACCAGTTAGGCTTTGTATCTCTTGGAACCATCACGGTTTTCCTTCACCCGATACACCCATTTGTTGTGAAGTGCTTTCTTTCCCATAGGTAACTTGACTAGTTCCCATGTCTAATTTGAGATCAAGGACTTCATCTCGTCCTTCATGGCAAGCTACCACTTGCTTGCATCCGGGGTTTGATAAGCTTCCTTATAATCTTTAGGTTCTCCTCCATCAGTCAGCAGCATGTAGTCCATGTATCTCCTGTTTGGCACATGGGGCCGAGAAGACCTTCTCAATATAGGAGCTGGAGTAGAAGGTTCTGATTTCTCACCGCTTTCTTCATTTGATTCCTCTGACTGAGGGTTCCTTATTATAGGAATGTCTGGGATATCTTCCACCTCTGCATGAACTGGCCCACTCGCTTCTGAGTTGCTGGCACTTGTGTTATGCCGGTCCTTGTACATCACTCTTTCATTAAAGATGACATCTCTGCTGCGGATCATCTTTTTGTTTTCATCATCCCATAAGCGGTAGCCAAACTCATCTTCACCATAACCAAGTAAAGTACATTTTCTTGATTTTGGATCAAGTTTGTTTCTACCTTGATCACTGATGTGCACATATGCTACACACTCAAAAACTCTAAGATGTGAGAGTTTTACTTCTTTTCCGCTCCATACCTCTTCTGGTAACTTGTGATGCAATAGTACCGATTGACTTCGGTTGATCAAGTAAGTTGCTGTGTTGACTGCTTCTGCCCAGAGCTGCTTTGGTAGACCTGACTGTACACGCAAGCTTCTGGCTCTTTCAGTCAACGTTCGACTCATACACTCAGCTACACAATTGTGTTGAGGCGTACCAGACAAGGTTCTCTCCATTCTGATCCCGTGCTCATAGCAAAACTTCTTTAATTTGGTGGTTACGTATTCACCACCATTGTCGGATCTGAGCTTGTTGATCTTCAAGCCTGTCTCATTTTCTACCATAGCTTTCCAAATCTTGAACCATGTCTAACAATGTTCGATTCCTCCTTTCTGAAACCCCATTGAGTTGTGGAGTTCCAGGAGGTGTCCACATTGGATCTTCTTCCAATGTCTAACAATGTTCGACTTCGAGTCTTGGGAACTACGATGATTTCTGGACTTGGATCTTCTTCCCTTTGATTTGTTGTGTCTGCTTTCTTTGGTTGAACTTCTTCCTCTTTACTCTGTATGCAATACAGAAGATGTTGATGGTTCACCCGACTCTCTCCGTCGAATCTCTTCACTGAGAACCAAATTTTGGACATCATCAAATCTCAACTTATTGCTTCCCGATGAGCTACTCACAGTCGTGACCGTAGCATTCCAACTTTCTGGTAGGGAAGACAAAAGTATTAAAGCCCGTACTTCATCATCGAACTCGATCCCAACTGAACTCAACTGGGTTGTAACGGTGTTGAGCTCATTGAGATGATGTGCCACCGGAGCACCTTCGGTCATCCGAAGGTTGAACAATCGCCTCATTAAATGAACTTTATTTGAGGCTGAAGTTTTCTCGTACATGTTGGAAAGAGCCTTCATGAGGCATGCTGTCGTCTTTTCTTTTGCAATGTTAAAAGCAACATTACGGGATAACGTCAGCTGAATGGCTCCAAGGGCCTGTCTGTCAAGGAGACTTCATTCTTCCTCCTTCATGTCTTCTGGCTTCTTTCCCGTGAGTGGTTGATACATATTCTTCTAGTACAGATAATCCTCGATCTGCATCTTCTAGAAGCCAAAGTCCGCACCATCAAACTTTTTGATTTTCATTTTTCCTTCGTCTGCAGCCATCACTTCGTCTCTGATCTGACTTCTCTGCTGGATCGTTTCTGTAAATTTCGTGAACTACCGTGTTTCAGAACACGTCGGTAGATAAATTTGTAGCGCCGAAAAATTTGGCACTATTCCCATTTTTCACTATTCACAGAATAGTAACCCACACAAAAAAATTACAGAATTAGCAATCTGGCTCTGATACCAGTTGTTGGGAAAAATACGCTGAAATTTCCATGAAGTCGGATCTATAAAAGTGATATAAAAAGAAAAATTGGACACACCAAATTGATAACAGAGTTCGGCCAATGATGCCTACGTCTCCGGACTACTGCAGATATTTTATTAGAAGAAAAGAAAACACTCGTGTTTACAAAACACTCGCAAACTCACTCACAACTCACAACCAAATACACACAGAAGCTAAAATTTTCTGCTTCTTGTTCACTCTCTTTTTTCTCTCTTTCTCTCTTGTGTTGGTGTTTTCGTTCCTCGGAATTCCATCTATTTATAGATGGGGAGAGTACCATGCTTTTCCACAATGGCTGCACACATTTTTAGCAGCCATAAATTTTTTTTCTTCCTTTTGCAGCTTCAAAGAAAGTGAGCTGAGCCGCTGAGCAATCCATTTTGACTCAACACACAATTTATTTAAATAATTGAAATTTATCAAAATTCATGTGATAACTTAACGAACTCAATGACTACTTACAGTCTTCGAACCTGCCGGGTGGCCCAGCGGAGATCCCCACTGCAATAGATTTACGGCCCTAAACATAAAATATGATTAAATAAACATTTAAAGTATCTGAAATATGTATTGTGTGATTAATTAAGTAGAAAAATTAATTTTGAGATTACCATGATGTGCTAAATCAAATTAAGGCAATGAGGATCAAGTTCAATTGGCCACGACCATTAGATCCACTACTCATTTTTGCATCACGTCAGTTTACAAACATGAACATGTAGGAGATTTTAATGTAAATTGATCTGGCCTCTTTCAGTTAAAATATGTATTATATATAATTTCTTCTCATATCTTTTATGGGTGTTGCTATTCACCGCCCCTTTGTTATTACGCGCCGCCCTTATTTCGCCATTTTGCCCCTCTCATTTTTCCAAAAATTTCATAAAATTATAAAATCCTCTGTACCAGGCGATTTCCGACGAAAAAATGTCTTCCAGCTCGGTACGTTTTTCGGCGGTCTAGCCGGTGATTGCGGACGCACATGGTTCTGTCCGACCGGTGATTGCTGACAAGCATGGTGTTGTCCGATCGGTCTTTTCGGACATGGCCATGCACGCCGCCTTTCGCGGCCGGACATCACCGTGCGCGTCTTAACAGGCCGGATGGCGCCACGCCCGACCGCAATCACCGGTCGAATGTCGCCTGACCCTCCGATTTGACCGATCGGACGTTTAATTTTTTTAATTGTTTTTAATAGTTTTTTATTACTTTGTGAACAAAAAAAAAAAATTGAAATTATATATTAGTTATTTAATTTTTATATTTTAGATTACAATTAATTATGTTATAAATTAGAAATTAGATATTATCGTGTTAGAAGTTCGAAAAATTATGTTAGAGGTTAGAATTGATCATCTTATATATTAAAAAATAGTTTTTATTATGTTAGAGCTAAGTTATAAATTATTATGGAATTGATTATGTTATACATTAAAAATTGGTTATTATCATGTTAGAAGTTAGAAATTATTAGGTTATAGATTAGAACTGATTATCTCATGAATTAAAAATTAAATATTATTATGTTAGAAGTTAGTAAATATTATGTTATAGGTTAGAATTAATTACCTTATAGATTAAAAATAGATTTTATCATGTTAGAGCAAAGTTATAAATTATTATGTTATAGATTAGAATTTATTATTTTATAGATTAGAAATTATATATTGTCATGCTAGAAGTTATAAATCATTATGTTATAGGTTAGAATTGATTATCTTATAATCAAAATTTATTAATATCATGTTAGAAGTTAAAAACTATTATGTTATAGATTATAATTCATTATCTTGTAAAATTATGAACAATGTATGATGTTGCAGGTGTCATTGGAAGATTTTGAAAGAGACGATATTGATCACAGTGTTGCTTTCGTTACGGCGTACAATTTCTTAATGATTCCGAAGTTATTCATGGGCAAAAGATATTGCACTTATGTATGGTTTGGAATTGGTTATTTCAAAACATACAAAAGGAGGAAAGGTGAAGGTTTTGAAGTGTAAGCGAGGAGAACGTTACAGAGGCAAAATACGAGATTTAGATCAGGCTGCTTCCAGACGTACATTAACTAAAGCATGTAATTGCCCTTTTGAGATAAAAGTCAAACTAGACGCAAGAACAAAAACATATCGGAGCATCTATGTAAGTTCTAATGCTAAGAAGGGAAAGTATAATCATGCATTTGTTGTGTATCATACGGGTAATCGACAGGTGAGCGGACTTAGTGCTTCATCTAAGAACATTGTCCGTGATATGACTGCTGCTCAGGCAAAGCCGGCAGTAATTTTGGCTGTGATTTAGGAAAAAAACCCAGGAGACAGCGCTGCTTTGATAGAACCAGGCAAGGTTGTAATCTTCCACTCGCCAACATGTGTATAACTATAGAGAGAAATTGCAGAGAGATAATTTCGAGGGTAGAGACGTGACTACTTAACTTCTGCATTTGGCTAGGGAGGGAAATTATATAGTTTATATAGATGTTGATCGAGACAACGTCTATTCATGGCACATCCTCAATCAGTCAGTCTATTCTGAATGTATTACTGGTACGTCGATATAGATTCGAAGTACAAAAAAAATAGGTATGTTTCCTTATAAATAACAAATTAGAGGAATCATAATTAGTATGTTTTAGTAAGTTTTATGATTTTATGTTTTCCCTTGTTGCTCTCATTTGCACAAGTATCGGATGTCGTTGGTGGAAATGATTGGGATGACACCGTGCGACAAGAACTTCTTAATTGCATATGCAATTATCAAGGACGAGAAAGAGTAAAGTTATGACTGGGTTCTACAGAAGTTGAGACTTCTGATAGGGTCTCAGGTACATCATACTGTCATTTTCACTGGCAGAGAGTTGTGCTTAATTAATCCTATTCAGAGAAATTTTTCTGAAGCTGCCCACTTACTTTGCACGTGGCACATCAACAAGCATATGGAAGACAGAGTCTATCGACTCTTTAGAAAAAATAAGTTGTTCGCTCAGAAGTTCGCACACGGTATGTGGAAGGCGATTGTCGAAGCGAGTACGGCAGATGAATACAACAATGCCGTAGCTGAGTTGTATGTAAAATACGCGCAAGTTCAATATGTGTTACAATATGTGGAGCAAACATGGTTAGTCCACAAGGAGAAGTTTGTGAAAGCATAGACCAATTATGTATTACATTTTAGTAACCCAACTTCGTGTAGGGTGCCCACGATGTGTTGAAGACCTGGCTTAACACATTGACCGATGCACTCGATACAGTGTCGGAGAAGATAATAATGAGATTGACATACTGAAGTCAGGTACATTACTTAAGTTACACATAATTACTGCACTAATTATAATTTTCAATGGGTCTAATGTTATATAATGTATTACTATGTCTACGTTGGAGTCTTCGAGACTTAGAAAGGGTGTGCAGTATACAGGATTCCCGTTCGCGTACTTGTCACTACAGGTCTCACATCACTGTCTGAATGTATTGAATGTTGAACTGAAGCGGATGCGAGACTTGAGCGATGATGTTTACTTGAGATGCAGATATGCATTGAGATTCACTCACAGACTCCCTTATGCCTGTTAGGTTCGTGTGTCACATACTTCTAGAGAATCAATTACTGTCCAAATGATCCACCAGTTTTGGAGCACAATACAGGTGTTAGAGTCAAGTAATTTAAGGTTCGTGTTTCATTTAAATTTTTTTACTGTTTGTTTCATTTTTAATTACACTTCATGTACAAAATACATTATGTTGTTTAATTCTTTAAATATTTTATCTTATACTTGTAGCGACAGGTGGCCAGAGCCAGGAGAGTCAGAGTGGATGGGCAGATCATCATTTTTTTTGGAAGCTTGTCAACGAAGTTGAAGCGGCCGATCCTGCGACGATGCGACACATGAATCAGCTCATGTACGCTCACCTTTACTCTAATCAACAAGGTTATATAGAACCCGAGGTGAAAAAAATACGAGAGGTCGTCCCAAACTAACTTTCAGACCCTCGTGGCGTGACGGGTCTGGTCAATTCCTAGCTTCTGTCATTGTGAAGGTCTCCGCGACAAAGCTCGCGACGCGACGGGCGCTGCGGTGCGACGCCTTGCGAGGTTTCGCGTCTCTGCCATCATGAAGACCCCACGACATCATCTCTCTGCGCAACTCCCCGGTAAATTTTCCAAATTTTGTTGATCTTTGATTCATGCACGTCTCGCCGGTTATACGCATTCTTGAGGCGACGACCTTCATCCGCATCAGATTACTTCAACTTTATAGTTCTTCATTTCTTAAGAAATCATTAAGATATAAGTGTTTTAGAAAAGGTATATTTCTTTCTTGATTGAGAGTATCTCATGTTTTTCGAGATTTTTGCAAGAACATTTAACAATTTCTTGTTTGATATCATTGATTAATTTTGCCGCTATTGGTTCTAAATCTTGTTTAGATTCTTTATACTATTTTTGTATAGATTTGAATAAATCATCTATCTGTTTTTCAAGAATTTTCATATCCATTTCAACATCTACCATTGAATAACTCATTATTTCAACCAATTCCCTTATAAACTAGTCATTTGGTACTATCGTTAGAGATAAGGGGTATAATGGTACTTTCACAAGCCAAAATGGCTAGTTTTTAGCTTTTCAATAATTTAAAAGAAGTGATCAAATTTCATTATTTTTTTTTTCCCATTTTTTATGGTTATATTGTGGTATTACCTCAAAAAAAAAAAAAAAAAAAAAGAAATTAGTAGGCTTACCAGAAATAGGGGTATGAATGTGACTGCGTGAGAGCGAGAAACAGAGGAACGAAAAAAATACCCAAATCCCATCCCTTGACCCTAGTCTTATGCCTCTGTAGGTGTGTCTTTCCTCCGGCGACCATAGTTCTTGTGGCCCCGACGAGCAGCTGGTTCGGCCTGGGCTTGCTGGCTTGCGGGCTATCGTTTCTTCCTTCCGAAGTGGGTCGTCTCTCTTACCGAGTGCCATGGTGAGCGAGTAGCGTGGGGTTTCGCTGGCAGCTGAGCTCCGGCTGACGTCAAGAACTTCTTGCCGGAGGTTCTTGACGGCGGTGTAGCTTTGGTTCTCCCCTCTCTTGCTTTCTCTGGTGTTGGGAAAGTCCTGTCCTCCGATGGCACGGGCGTGGCTGCGTGTGGACTCAGGTGTGTACGGGGATGGGCTGTAAAATGGACCGTCCTAGGAGGATCTACGAATTTTCGAGGGCAGTTGTTGAATTTGTGGTATGGTTCTATTAGCCCATCAAGGGAGTTTCTGGTGTCGTCTTGTTTGGGCTCTAAATCTAGTAGCTTCTCTCGGATTTCACATTTAGTTGTTAGCTCGGGTTGTGTTGGTACTTGGTGTTCTTGTGTGGAGGGGAGGACGTTAGTTTTTGTTGCTTTTTTGTTGTGTTCTACGTTTTGTCTGTGCGTTTTAGTTCTGTGTTTTATTCTCTTGTTGGGAGTTGTTTGTATTCTCCTGTTGAGAGTTCTGTAGTTTTGTTTTTCAGTGTTTATTTGGTTCGAGGATGCCTCGGCCTAGCAGCCTATGTGGTTATTCTTTCCAACTAGATTCAACCGAGTAGTTGATTTATTCGGCTATTTGACTGCTTTCTAATCTCTAATTACGTATTTTTTAATAAAGTCTGTTTGGAAAAAAAAAAAAAGGAACCGACCCGTCTGTTTTAGGAAATAGGAACCGGAACTGTACTTTCCCCGGCGGTTCCAATTCCAAATACATTGGGCCCGGGGACCCACCGGGTCGGGGCTGACCCGACGGACCACCACGTTTGGCCACCCCTACCAACCGTATTTCTTCTCAGTTCCTCACTGGAATATTGGGTTTTTAGGGATAAAGCAAAATTAATCGATCCGTGATCCGCCATCGATCCCCAGTTCTTGACCTATAATTTCGTAACACGCAATGATGGTGAGGCTTTGCTGTAACTATTCTGCAACACAATTACACGCATTGAAGTCTCTGTTTCTATGTACATGATCTTTTGCTCTTGCTGAATTTTCATGTGAAATCGTTGATATTCTGTCTTAATATGTTCTGAAACTCGTAGGCGAACTCACTTCGATTGTACTTGACCTGCATTCGGAACACCCTGGAAGCCGCATTGTGCTTACAGGTATATGATTTTGTTCATTTTTTCAGTAGCTTAAAGTGAAACCGATTATGTTTTTTTTTTTTTATTATTTTGATTCGTTTTTGGGGTAGATAATTGTGTAGCTCATTGTTTTTTTTCCCCAAATTTCTATTGATTATCGTGCGGTTTACGATTATTTGTATGACTGATCCATAAATTTCTGCTTTTGCTATGTTTTTTTTTGTAGAATTTCCCCTGTCAGGAAGTTGAAAGGCACAATAAACCGGAAGTTGAACTCAAGTATGTTATGTTCTTTTCCTATATCTATCTTTGGCGATTGCTTTGATCTTTTTATGTTATGTATATTGTGGGCAGAGGTTGTATTTTAGAATTTCTATGCGTCCACATGAGGCTGCCTGTGCAGTTAGATTGGATGAGCTAACAAAATATCAATTTTGGCGCACACATTTGTTGAAGAATATGGCATTTCTTGAAATAAAGATCCATTTTTGCTAAAAAGAATAGTATGACGAGTCGACCCGGTTGACAGTCAGGCTGTCTCACACAAAAATTGTGCAAAATTTAATTTCCTGGGTTATGGTATAATGATCTTGTTGCAGGAACTGTTTAATTCTTGTTTTCGTTGATAGGGAATGAGTATTGAGTTATTTCTAATTGGCATTTGATTGACCACATTGTTGTATGATGTTAACCAATAGCAAATCAAACTTAGTGGTCCATTTCAGCATAGGGTAAAGAGAAATGTACCAATTTTGACGCTCACCTCACTAGAGATTTGCTTGAAACTGCTTTAGTTTCATTACTTCACCTTGTTCAAAGATTTTTGCTGAAACTGTAATTTTGGAGAAATTGCTTCAGTGGATACAACAACAACAACAATAAAGCCTTTTAGTCCCAAACAAGTTGGGGTAGGCTAGAGATGAAACCCAAGAGAAACAGTGGTAAGAAACACAAAAATTGCTCAAAACAAAACAAAACAAAACAAAACAACACAAAACAAAACTCAAAACAAAAACAAAACAAAAGAAAGAGATTGGAGCAAAAGAAAAAAGAGCAAAAGTCACGGTTCCTGAAATTATGTTTTGGTGTTTATGTATGAATTATATGCCACTGTCCTGAAATTATGTTTTAGTGTTTATGTTATTCTGAATGTTGCTAATGGAGTTAAATTGAAAGTTTAGCTATATGCAACTGTGATACCAACTACAAGCAGGTCTCAATTGTTGCTTTGTGGTTTTCAGGACCAGTCCGGAGCTTCTTCTGAATCCTGTAAGAATCTTCTTGTCTAAGTATGCTGACTTAAATTTCCATCTAACTGCTTTAATCAAATTGGTCTAGATGGAATTGAACGATTGGTGTGTTGTTCTAAATTAGACCTAGCTGCTAGTTTCTACTACATCAAAGAATTTGTGGCATCAAAATATAAATATGGTGAGAGGATTACTTGAAAGCTTTCGCTTATACGTTAGGTGATTGTATTGTGTATCCAAACTTGTACAGAAACTACATGTGTGACCTTATTGCTAAAAACATTAATTATAGAGGTACCTAATTCTTCACGAGAAAATATTAGTGATGCAGAAAGATGTAATCTTATTGTGCTTTATTGATGTAAAGTGAATCAGCTTGAAAAGTAAAGGCCTTACCATTGCTCCTAGTAGGTATATAGTTGGCTTGGTTGACAATAAGCAAAGGAACGTCATCTTTCCTTGAGTCCTAGTTTATTAGCTATTGTTATTGAGAACTTTATTTGTAAAATTGACTTTTCCACAGACTGGTAATACATACAATCATCGACTTACTCATGCTTTTCGATGGTTTTTTATGTTGTAAAATATGCTCTTTACACTCTTTGTAAAAGGATTATTTTCATGAATCCTCTTAGCATGGACAAGACTTGTGTAATCTATTCCATGTTATCCTCATAAGTGTACCTCTCTTGAGCTTTTCTCATGTGCTCATTGACTAAATACTTTCTGTTACATGAATGTGTATCATGTTGCCCGTCTCTTTTTCCAAATGTGCATCTCTACTAATATAGTGACTTGTATATGGAAATTATACTTTTGTTAGACCCTACTTTTTACTGGATTATACTAACTTTCTATAACTACTATCATATACCATCTCACAGGTTCTAATCTGCAGAAATGAGGCTGAGAAATGTTTGATAGAAACGTCTATAAACTCCTTACGGATAAGCCTTAAGGTAAATTCTGGCATGTTTCGTTAGTTTCCCTTCTTTGTCAATTGTGAATGTGTTGATAAACTCTTTGTCAACTGTTTCTTTACATTTTCCATTGAGTAGCTTCTTTTATTCCAGATCTACTTAACTTCATTTCTTTGACATTGATGGTATGGTCATGTTTTTGTATGCCGTTGCTATATTTGCATATATTCTAAGCCCAACCATTGATGTTTCATGAAGTCCAAAAGTAATCAATCTTCTCAGTAAGAAATGTGGTTTATTACTTTAGTCTGGCCAATGGTCAATGAAAACTTTTCCTTGAAAGATCCAAGTTCTGATTGCAGTCTACCGTTAGCTTTAAGGTGAATGTGAAAAGGGAAAACAGAAAGGGGTTGATCCTTTGGTAAAGATCATTGATTTTATGATGATCTTATGGCAGAAATGCTTGGGCATTATTAGTTTTCACCTTGGAAACTTGGCTTTACTTGGGAAGCAGTGGTTTCTTTTCCAAGTCAAGGGTGATGCTCTATGGTGTTTGATCTTATTAGGAGTAATATGAATTGAAAGATAACAGGTGAGATGCAGGTTTAACTGTTAAAACCACATTTCGGAAACGGAAGTCTTTTTCTAATTGTTTTTTTCAAGATTTTGGTTAATCAGTCGTTGCCAAGTTTGGGGGGCAAGTATTGGATCTGGGGAGGTATTGTTTGGGTGGTATTGAGGAGAGAATTCCTTTGAAGTGTTAACCCGAGCTCTGTTCTGTATATCATCTTATCTAGATAAATCAATAGTCCCAGTTTTGGTGATCCATTGTCGCCTTCCACATCATGGAAATTGCATTTTAAAGCGTAAAAAGTTACTATTTGTAAGATTTGCTTTTTCAACGTAAACAGTTATGCTGTTAGGCTTTGTTGTTTGTTTTGTCAATTAAATTGGCATGTTATGTTGTTGCTGATGAGCTAGTTTTATATTAGGTTGTCAGGTGGTCCAAGTAGCAAGGATTGTAGCACTGATGCATTAGTTGCCTCCCAAAGCAATAATTTTGCACATCTTTAGTTATGCTGGTATTCTGTTTTCCAACATAGTTTGCCTATATTGTTGTGGTAGCATTCCTTCATCATAAATGTGGAATTTCGAACACTACTTTTCTACTCCGACCTGATACAGTTGTTTTTACTACAACATAAACGTCTTTTACTTGTCTGCAAATTAAATCTTTAGGGGATGCTTGGATATAATTTTTTTTTTTTTTTTTTGATTGTATTTTATGGTTTGGTTTAGTTAATTTTTAAAAGGTGGTATGGTTAGTTGTTAGTGGGTATATTAAAATAATATTTTAAATAAAATAATTAAAGTTGATTTGATATAAAAGTAGGAGAGAGATGATTTGAAGTGATGGTTAGTTAAAATTATGTGAGTGGATGAATATTGAATTAAGGTTGATGTGGTGTGTATGAATGATTGATTGAGATTATTTAATTATATTGATAATATTGATGATATTTATGAATGATTGATTGAGATTATTTAATTATATTGATAATACTGATGATATTGAGGTTGAGTTAAAAAAGTTGGTGAGTTAAAAATGTTGGGATTTTTGTGAAAATATTTGTATCCAAGCATCTTCTTAATTTCCTCCGAAGCAAGTTTATTCGAAAACGTTGGAAGTATTGTTATGAAGACTTCCATTTGAGCTGCCACTTTTTGCAATGTGTATACTCTTATCATCGACATCTCAAAGTTGAGAACCCTTGTATTTTTTATTTTATTTTATTTTTTTATATTTTTTGGTGGCATTCTTTACTGTAGGTTAAGCAGGCAGATGAACTTGAGAACATACTTACAAAGAAATTTCTCAGATTTCTATCTATGAGAGCAGAGGCATTTCAAGTATTAAGGAGAAAACCAGTGCAGGTCTGCATCCTTCATTAGTCATTAGATTCTATTTTTAACTTAAGAATTAAGCCAATACTCCTTTTAGTCCACGGAAGATGAACCTCCTTATAACTTCAAATCCTGGATATATTTCTCGTTCACGTATTACATCTGTTAGTTGATTCATGTTCATCTTAAGGGAACTTGTAGTGTGGAACTTTTTTCTCTACTTGTTTTACTTTTTCATAAAAGAGCTATTCTGACGTAATGTACTTAATGACACACCCGTAATGTTGTGTACCCTCTTGCTTTAGCTAATATTGCTTACCTGATTTTCATAGCTGTTGCCTGTTTATTGACGAGACTTCTAACATTACTCTTTTCAACTGTTGACATTTCTCAGGGATATGATATTAGTTTTCTTATCACTAATTTTCATTGTGAGGAGATGCAGAAGCAAAAGCTTATAGATTTTATTGTTCAGTTCATGGAGGTAAGTATATTTATTTTTGATTCATTAACTTTGTATTTTATGAGATATGCGTGTTACAGATAGTTCACGTTGGACGTCACAAAATATTGTTAATTTCCATGCATTTTTCTGTGATTAAAAGTAAACTTTACATGACATCTATTTTGATTGATGGAAGAGAAGGCTTTAAGAAAACAAAAACATTCAGATGACTCAAAATTTTCGAAAATCTTTTGATGCATAAGGGCTTATCATAGTGTCTTAAAACCATAAAATGGAAACTTTTAATTTGCTTTTTCCTTATGAAGTCGGTAAATGTATGAAATATGCAATTTGAAGGGTACATATTGATTTTATATACATATATAAGCTGCTTATATTATATAAGTATGCATTTTTATTATAAAGGTATGATAGATCGACCTGCCTAATGGTTAGGCCGTCCCACACAAGATTTTGTGTCATATTATTGGGTCACACTTCGAGGGTAGTCAATATAACTTCCCTTCAAAATAAGTACTTGCTCGGTATATGTATCTACTTTACAAATTGTACTGAATGGAAGTACTTTGTGAAATAAATATGAACCTGAAAGGGCTTTTTGTAACTTCCGAAGATATTCTTTTTTTTTCTTTTTTTTTTCAACTTTTAGAGACTTCTCAATAAAAAAATAAAAAATTACACTAAATCTTAGAGTACATATAATTAGTCCTCATTTGTATTACTAACATGTTTTGGCTTGTAATGATATAGAAATAATTTGTATCGTATAACGTTAGCTTTGCAATCAAAGTGGTGGTGGTTCAAGGGTGATGGATCAATCTTTATACTGAGTAGATTGAATTTTCATGGAGATAAATTCAATCGTTGCCTTGTTGTTTGAATTGCAGGACATCGACAAAGAGATTAGCGAGCTGAAAATGTCTGTCAACTCACGGGGAAGGCTTGTTGCTACCGAGTTCTTGAAGCAATTCATGTAATGAAAAACGACCCAATTTATTGAATTGAAACTTCTGTAGATGCTGCTAATGACTCTTGAAATAGTTTCATAGTACAATCTGGTAAACTGGGTGCAGATGAAAGTGTGTGTAGAGAAATCATACATCAGATATCATGAGACTACAAGTTATCGTGAGAATGTGAAGGTATAAGAAGTTGGATTTGGACTTTCTGTTAATCGTCGTTAAATCTTGGAGGCTAATCCACAATCCTTTGAGATTGATAAATTTGCTTGGCTTCTTTTAAGAGCCAGAAAATAAGATTATATTGAATGCCCAATGGAACAATAAGATATACAATCACATTCATCTCAAAACATTTGATGAGAAAGTATTCTTAAGTATGACATTCGAGTGTGAAAGTATCCACGTGTTACATATGTTGAAATAGTACGACTGTCGAGCGTAACAGAAGAATTTTTGATGTTTATATGAACATCACAAAATGAAAATAAAGTTACCAAAGCTATTCAATATATCATCCAATAACTTAAAACATTTTCTCCTCGCTTACTGTATCTCGGGTACCAACAACAGGACCAGGTCTGATATTGAAATAAGCAACGCAAGCCAGGTACACACAAGCTAAACCTACATATAACCTAAACCAAACAGACGAATAAAACGTTAGAAAAATGAAGACACCTGTAAAACCTATTACGACCGCGCATTTGGCAGCACATTTCACGGTCGAGAGCTGATTTTCAGTTCCTTGATTGGGGAATTGACCGTTTACGATGAAATCAGTAAGCAGCTGATCTTTTAGAACAAATGCTTCCATTAGCCAGGTGGCAGCCTCGTCTTCGGATGATGGGATTTTGTCGAGAGGAATGCGCTTGATATTAATGTGTACTTCAGATGGGTCCACGCCAAAGACATTGTCCAGGAAAGAAGGGCACTGGTTCTTGTATGCTATGGTCACATCATAAACTGTGACAACAGATGATGATCTTAAGAAGATTGAATGTTATGAAGCTAACAGAGGAGCAAAATCTTGTTAATCTATAAGGACATGGAAGAAAATACATCAGATGGCCATTATATGCAAATATTAAGTACCGTGCATCATCAATGATCTTGACCATTACAGCAGATAATCCTTTAAAAATTTATTCTATAGGCATCGATAATTAAGAAACTACGAAAATGTAAATACGGTAACAGAGACAATTCCCTTTAGTAAAGGGATAAATCGTAAATAAAACTCAATTTATCATTCAAAACTACTTTCCGAACAAACATGCCTCATTCAATTTGTGAACTTTCGTGAGACCTTGGAAGATAATGGATTTCTTTTGTAAATAGACTAAGACTAATGATAATTTCTTCTGTCATCCTTCTTTACTCATAATCAGAACCATATGGTGCACAAAAATTAGGAGGGAAGAACCTGCATCCAAGGAGCCTCTTAGGATCTCCAAACAAGCGAAGAAGCCTCTGGTTTTTGGAATCAACACGTTTTTCAATATGGGTAATCCATTTTCAATCGCAAACTTCTGGCTTTTTTTGGACTTTTGTTCACTGTACATAGAGCAGGATGGCCAAGGTCATATATATATTATTTTCTATGAAAAGATACAACCAGCATAGTGAATGACAAAACACATCTTGTAGCTAAACATCTAATTAAGCAACCAATAACTAAAGATAAACTAAGACATAAGAAACAGTTAAAAAGAAAAAAGATTCAGTTATTTTCTATAATTACAAGTATTTGCCCATGAGGTTTTACTTCGTTTTGCGAGACACCCCTCTAAAAAGGTAAAATATTTGAAATACCGAGAAAATAAAAGTTCTTTTTTTTTTGGAAGGTCGTTTGATGAAAATCCTGAAGAATATCAGCTCTAAAAACCACCAAACACGTAAAATAGAA